TTGTTGAGGTCGGCGTTGGTGGTGTCGGCAAAAATGACGGAAAAAGAAGAACAACGAGAGAGGAGGAGGGGCGTAGAGGAAGAGAAGGAGAAGGAGAGAAAAAGAAGAGAAGGGGCGTAGAGGAAGAGAAGGAGAGAGGAAGAGAAGGAGGAGGAGAGAGAAAAGATGGAATGAGAAAAGAGGAGGAGGAGGAGGAGAGAGATTCTATAGAAGGAGAGAGGAAGAGAAGGAGGAGGAGAGAGAAATTGAAAGGGCGTATAGGAAGATTCCGGAGATTTAAGGGTTTTTTTTTATTATATTCTGACGGAATATTCCGCAGGAAAATTAATTTTCCGACTGAATATTTCGTCGGAAATTTCCGACGGATTATGTTTTTGTGGGAAATATAATGTTTCGACGGAATATTCCGTCGGAAATTTCTGACGGATTTTTATTTCTGTCGGAAATTTAATGTTTCAACGGAATATTCCGTCGAAAATTTTCGACGGATTTTATTTGCGTCGGAAAATTAATATTCCGACGGAATCATAAATTCCTACGGATTTTTATTTCATAGGAAATCCGACGGAAATTTCCGACATAATATAAATCCGTCGGAATATATGGGATTTTCGACGGAAATTTATGTCTGTCGGAAGATGTCCGTCGGAAATAGGCCTATTTCTTGTAGTGATATGAACTAAAAGAATATGTCTCCATCCAACCACGCCATGCTTATGACTTACATCATTGAATGCACCACAAACTTCAATAGAATGCTCCAAAAATTTAATTGATGACACACCTTTGTCAATGCAATCAATATAATGGAAATAATACGTGAAAATATTTGTATCCCAATTATCATCGTAAAAGGAAGTTGTAGAAATTTGACTTTTTGATTCCAACTTAGATACCACAAATGTAACCTCCTCGTCAATGAAACTAGACAAATATACACTTTTGTGCTCCGTAATTTCTTTTTCTTCTACTAGTTGTTTATGAGATTGCTCTGAAATTGGATTTGTAAGATTATCACTCAGTAAAGATACAATCTTTCCTCGTATATAGCCTCAACAATAGATTGCTCTACTTTCTCCTTCTCACAAGACATATCTTGTAAGCCACTCTCACGATACATCTTTGATGACGTGCTTCAATTATATCCAAACATTCATTCATTTTCTTGATTTCCACTATAAATGCTTCAAACAAACTTTGATTCTCCATGTTTAAGCAGATGAGAAACACACAAAAGCAGTCCAGAAATAGATTTAAAGTGTGAGGACCAAAACCCAATGAAACGAAGGAGAACCAAGTCGATCAATATGACCTTCGAAACTGAGTTCTTTTACACAAATTGTCAAACTCGTCCCTCGTCAAACAGCAGCCAACACCAATTTGATATGGATTTTAATGGATATAACCTTCAATCACAGTTGAAAGGTTTGGAATCTTGAGTCTCGGTCAATAAACACTAAGCAACACGAGCTTAAAACCTAAACTAGACCAAGAATACATAAGCACAAGCTTACGGAAAACATTATAAATTTCAAATCAATCAATCATACTTTTTATTAAACACCCTCACGTATTTATAAGCTAAATAATTAGCCTAAAAAACGTGTAGAACAAATTCTAATCTAATTAGGAAACTAACCCTAACTTGTAAATATAATATTTTGCAACTATGATCTTTAAAGTTAAGCTTATCTTCTACTAACCGAATTAAACTAACAAAAATATCCTAATAAATTCGATCACCTAATAATAAAATTAAAAATAACATAAAAATAATTAAAAATAACAATATTGATGCCTTAGAACCACATCACTCCTTAAAAAAAAGTATAAAAAGAGCGATCGATCGGAGACCTCTTACTAATTAATCAAGTTCCCTGTTCTTTTGAGCTTCTGGGTAAAGCAAAGCATAGCAGATTTCAGCAAAGAAGAACAGAGCAAAACAAAGTAGATTTCAGTAGAACAGGGCTTCCAACATATTGCAGAGCAGAGTAGAGTAGAGCAGATTTCAGTAAAACATATTTCAGTAAAACAGAGCAGAGCAAAGCAGGACAAGATAGAGCAGATCAGCTTAAAACAGCAGGACCGTACTCAACATAGTCAACAACCAATTTTATTTTGCAAGGCCTTTTCCAACTAAGTACTAAGCCAGAATCTCTTGTATTATTCCAATTTTATTTTATAAACTGTTGAATAATTGGTAGACATCAATATAAGTTAATATTTTTGAGCAACATTATTCAACAAGAGAGAAGGTAAAGTAGTAGAGAGAAGGTATAGTATGATTAATTTTCCACCTTTTTTTTCTTACATCCTACGTAATAAGGATAGAATATATCAGAAATAAAGGGATTTGACAGCCTCCATCATTTCACCTTTTCACTGTACTCCGTATATCTTTGTCCTTTTAGTTTAAAACAAATACAGACTATAAAAATGTTCCATTACTCAGCTTCCATTTACTAGATTCTGGAGATTCCCCTTAAAATATATACTGGTACTTTCTCCCTTTATACATGAAACAGTTTGAATTTTATACTATTTATATAATTACTTTAACTAGCTTTGATGATTTATTTATAGCTAAAAAAAATAAAAAATCATGTGAAATCTTTTTAAATTCGTCTCGATTTATACTATTATAATATCAAATGTTTATAATTTTTACATATTCCTAATTAATTAAAGATATAAGCAATTAAAATAATACATCGATAAGCGTGAAAACAAAAATATTGCAAATATTAAAAAAAACAGAGGAAGTATATATATATATATATATGTTGAACTCACGGAACTGTAATGTACTCCGTAATAGCTAAATTAAAACGAAGATATATACCATTATATATGATTGGATCCTCTTATCAACAAGAGACATGGATACGTGATCATTATTAACATTTTTTTAAATTTTTTTTGACTTTATCCCAAATAAATGATTTTATATATTATGTGTGTATGAATTAAAATTTCCCTAAATTACGACTTACTCTCCCAAGAATATTAAAGGGTAATTAAAGTATTGAAGGATACAAAAACATCATAAAAAAGGTGAGAGAGGGAGAGCTATTTTACAATGGAATATTTGTTGACATAGAAAAAGTAAGAGAATTGGAACCCAATTACAAAAATGGAATAAAAAGTAAGACAAATGTTTATGGAGTGCAACGAATATAAGTTGGGCTAATTCAATGCTTATAATGAAACCCACAAAAAGGTGACCTTAAAGCATCATTGATCAATACTTCTTAATTAAAAATAATAGTACATCTTTATAAAATTTAATCATCCCAATATTTTCTACTAATTACCTACATAAACACTTTCATTTGACTAATTATAGGTAATTATGTGATATGGTACAAAGTGGTTATCATGCCAATGTTTTGCTATCATTATATTCGTAGGTTAAAAGCTCAATGTTAAACTTTCAAAAATAACACCAAGAAAAAAGTAATCCGTGGTTTATACACACGGGTGTACAGTGCTCATCGTATACCCGGATAAATAAAAAAAAAGGCGGAAAGAACATCCTGTGTTTCATAAAGAACATACATGTATTTGACAAAGAACATGTTTGTATTTGACAAAAACATGCATTACCAAAGAACATAAAGATATAATAAAAAGAACGAGATAAAAACTTGATAAAATTTTCTGAAAAATTACACATTATTAACGGGAAAAATTTAGAGGTGATAAAAAATCGAGTAGGGCCGGGCCATATCATAATTTCTTGTGCCCAAACCCGTAGAAAAGTAGCGGGTTTTCGGGCTTTTTTCGAACCCGGTTCGAGTTTTAACTAAAAATGTATTTTTAGCTTTGCCCAAACCCACCCTATTTCGGGCCGGATCGGGTCGGGATGCGAGTCATGCCAATGTTAATCACCTCTTAAAAAATCCTTACCAAAGATATCATTTCCCCAAAAAATAGTTTTCTATCTCTCCAAAAAAAATTGAACTTCCCATAATAATTTAGTTTTTTTTTTACTCTAACATTATTTTCAATTAAAAATAATTTAAGATTTCAATATCAAATTTCAAAATACCATATGTTAAAAGAACATAATTTATATTGTAAAGTACATATAGTTAATACCTAAATAACACACTAATCAAACTCAAAGAATATACGATAATAAAAGTAATTTAAACATGACATATGATAATAAAAAATAGAATTTGGGAGTCACTACGACCTTAAAGAACATACACGCCAAATTCAAAGAACATACTTTGTATTATTAAACCCAAAAAAAATATATGTTTATCAACATATGTTAAATAACATAAGTTATAATATAAAGAACATATAATTTTACTCAAAGAACACACTGATCACACTCAAAAAACATATTAAAGGTATGTTCTTTGTCAAACATAGGTATGTTCTTTATCAAACACTATATGTTCTTTCCGCCTTTTTTTGTTTACCCGGGTGCACCATGAGCATGGTGCACCCATGGTGCACCCGGGTGTATTATCTAATTTTCAGAAAAAAGCATTAAGAAAAAAAAAAAAAAAAACTAACTAAACAAAGAGAACTATAGTTAATTTAGAAGAAGGAATTGAAAAAGGGCGGAAGAATTTTACAAGCATTTACTACAAGTCTACAAGTCTTAAGTAATCTAATGTCCCACATTTGTGATCCTATATGCTATTCAATTCACGCTTGAAATAAATTGGACATTTTATCCGGTCTCAGCCCTTAAATTTGTTAAGTGATGTTAACTTCGAAACTCTTTAACATATCCAAAATGCCACCAAGATTAACCAATTGTACAATCCCAAAGATTAATTATAATACACACATCTTTCTCAAAGGAAAAGTAAATAAAAAGGACTATGTTTTCCCACCAATTTGACTCAACATTTTAGCTCAACTTCATCCACCAACCAACCCAAAATAGAACAAAGATACAATTATATGCATGTTAAATTACTATAGCAAATAACATAGCACTTGTAAAAAATAAAAATAAATAAATAAATAATACATAGCAACCCCCCATAAATGAGGAAGAAAAATTAATTTATTTCCAACCTAAAATAGTATTCATGATTGGATTACATAATTTTTACACATAGAAGTACATATTCTACCCTCTTTTTTTTTTCTTTTGTTGAAGAAAAAAATTAAAAAACCCTAATCTCATATGAGAATATTATCAAAACTGCCCACATATATATATTTTTTACATAGTAGTACAAAAAAAAGAGCAGGGAGAAGTATATCATACAAGATTGAAACTTTAAAATAGAGCATCTAAAAATAAAAAAAAAAAAATTTGATTTAGCAGATTTATATTTCACATAAAATTAGCAAAAATTAAAACCCACCTTAAATTTTTTATTAATCAATATTTCTCAACCCCAAACACTTCCCCAAATTCTTTCACCAATAAAACTGACAATCTTCCTTACAGACCCCTGTTTCATTTCATCACATACCATCTTCTCATCATCATCTTCTTCTTCACCTCCTTGTTCTTCAACCCGGCCCAACTCAGGCCCAACTCGGCCCGACCCATCTGACCCATTAGGATTGGCATCATCATTAACCTTAATCTTATCAGAAACCTGATTATTATTATTATTAGGATCGAAGTTTGTTTTACTGTTCTTCCTCTTTTCTTTCCGGGTTGACCCCTGTTTCTTCTTCTTCCTTTGCGCCACCAAATTATCTTCGAAAGCGTCGATAATCTCATGAATAAGTTGCCGATTCGGGGAAGAATCCCATCGAGCCCAGTAGCTAGTATAGCAGGTGAAGCAATAACAGCTGGAATAAGGAGGGTGGTGCTGAAGATTATTATTAGTGTTAAAATTACTCTGTTTTTTAACAGAGGATTTAGAAGGGTCAAAATCAAAAGGGGTAGAAGAAGAAGAAGAAGAACAAGAACAAGAAAGAAGATAAGCTAAGACTTCTTTGTCTTGAGGAGAGAGAGTAGCAGCAAGTGTTAGGATTGCAGCAGGAAGATAAGAGAGAGAAAATTGATCAGAAGATGGTGAAGGAGAAGGGTGGACTTGACCTTTGCGGTAGAGTTTTTTCATGGTGGAGAGAGAAAGTAGAGAGAGAAAGAGAGGGAGGAAGAAGAAGTATTATCTAAGGAGTTGAGTTGGGTTGATATAGAAGAAAGGGAAAGAGGAAGAATAATGAGGTTAAGGAATGGTTGATGAGTCTTTTTATTCTTTTGATTTTCTCTCTCTTCTTCCTCTGTTTTTCTCTTTATTGTGTTGAGTTGTCATTGTGGACCTTTGTTTTTATGTAATGTTGGTTCTTTTACTATATGGTGAGGGTTAATGGTTATGTAATGTAATAATGTATTGTTATAGTCTAATGGAGGGAATGTTATTAGGTTTGGTTACTTTGACCCCATCACTACAAGAAAAGAGCCCATTAACGACGAGAAGTTTCATTGTTAGCCTATCATAAAACATCATTTATGACAAGATTTTTCGTCGCGAGCCCGACCTAGAAGGAGTTTATTGTAGAATATTTTCTCGTCACCGTTGGATTGAGTCTTTTATATGAAGTTGGGTATGTTTTATGACGCGTTAAAAGATGGTCATTATAAGTGTTATATTAGAGACACGATATAAATCCGGGCTAATAATTAGATTTTTAAAGTGCGTTCTTTTGGACTTATTTTTTTCTTCAAATTTTAGTTATGTTCAATTTAGTTTTATTAAGTTTATTTTAGTACAGTTAAGCTTCATTAGGTTGAGTTCAACACAGTTCAGTTATATTAAGTTTAGTTAATTCAACTTTATTAAATTCGATTCGGTTCAGTTCGTTTTAACTCTATTCAATCCAAAAGATTATGATCTTAGTCACCAATGAAGTAACAACAATAATAACAATAACATCACAATTTAATATGCTTTGGATTGCCTTTATGATTTTTATTCGAGTTGATCATGGTTTGGCTCGAGCTTAGTAAAATATAAATTGTTTGGGACTTGAATTAGATTTATTCTAATTTGATAAGAAATCTTAATCGTTGAGTTAACTCAAGTTGGAGTCGAAGAAACCAAACTCTACGTAAAACTTGGGTTGCATGGGCTAAGTCAAAGTTGACTGGCATTAACTTTTAAGAACATAATCCAAAAGAACATCAAGTATATTGTAATTCATATCGCATCATTTTCAATCTCGATCACAAGGCTATGCAAGAAAAGCATGCCACAAGCTCGACTCGATGATCAACATATATTAAACCATAGCATATAGATAGAGTCCAAAGACGAGGCGGATAGTTACAAGAAGTCATAACATATATGAGAATATACATGCATGCAAGTTAAATCACTTAGTAATCACCTCACCAGTCACACTCACACCCCCTTTGAATGCTATTAAATTCATGAATTGGGTGTGCATATTGGATTTGTATCTGATCGGTTTAACTGGATGTGCATATTGGATTTATCTGATCGGTTTAACTAGGTGTGCATAAATCATGATAAATCGTTGTGTTAATGCTCATACACAACCAATTATGGTATGAGTCACTTCAAAATAAGTCAAATAGTTGTCAAATCAAGTTAGATTTTTTTTACAGCACTAAGACTATAATAATTATACTAACGGCGCTGCTCATGATCTATCAAAATCTTTCTCATAACCACATCAAGAGGTCTATAGCTAATCTCTCTACAAAGAATGTTAGATAAGAAAAGCCTAAAAAACTTGTCAAATTCACCCCTCATAAATTCCTAATACAAGAAAATGAAGATCATTTACCAATTTAAGAAGTTACCTTACGACTTACAACTACAAGTATGTAAAACGATGAAGATAACGTATGTGATAGGGTGTTAACTATTAAGTATAGTGAATTGGGAGCAGCCTAGCAGGGTTCACGTGCATCGCGGTATATGTTTGGCAGATTCTTATTACGCAATTACCATTCAATTGATGATGCCGTTATTGGTTTTTGCAGCGTTTCAGGCCAGTGTATCTGCAGGAGTATTTCTACTTGGGTATGCCCTACAATTCAAGGGTCACAATCTGTTTATAGTCTTGTTTCCAGCTCTGTATGTAGTAAATGAATATGTTAGGTATGTAGTACTCTTAATTGGGGATCGGATATATCTAAGCAAGACTTAGTTTACTTGAATTGAATTAATCTTGTAAGTTTGAGGACATAATTAAGGTCGAGTTCTTTTAACTGCACGTCTACACGTGTTTAGAATGATAACCCTTTAAACCCCTCTCCTCACTTTCTAGTGTTGGAATCACAAAAACTAGTTTAAGAAATTATGACGGGTTGTGGTTCTATTTGGGTCCTTATAATAGAAAGTCAATTGAAATTACGTCTTATAGTAGGGAGCACATAATTACTCTTGAAAAAATTAGATGGTACAAGTAACTTTTAAACTATACTATCCAAATTGGATGGTATAAGTAACTTTTAAACTATACTATCTAGTATCATGTATTCTCATGTAAATCGTAAATATTTACAACCAAAGTTAACTTAGATATTATGAAAGAGAAATGGTGTTTAACTATTTTTTTCTAATAAGAAATAATACAGTGTTATGAGATTTTGTTAAATTCGTTTTGATATACTCTATAATTGTTTAATACATGTATGAAAATTAAGACATTTACTGTTTAAAACACGTCATAAATTCTATAAAACCCTAAATAAAGCAATCTTTAAGGGATGCGAGACGGATACTGGAGGGAGTAATGTACAAGAATACATAGTACTCGTATTTTATTTCCAATTTTACCCCTTTTTTTTAAGCAACTAACAATTTTACCTCTGTTGGGTAGGCAGCTTCTCAACCGCAACGGGCCTGTAATAACTGACGAATAACAGAGGATAAAACAGGGCCCCGATTGTTTTTTAGCCTTGTAAAATGGATTGTCATTACATTTTTGTTCTTTTACGGTTTTTGGCCGATTTTTTTTCATGCTATTATTAAAAATTATTGATTTGAATTGTACTTTTTCTAATTCTTTTTTTTTATTAGGCTCAAATTTTTTTGTTGAACTCCTGAATTAAAATTCTGAAAGTGCACACATTAAAAAGTACTCCGTAAAAACAACACTCGTGAGCTCTGACGTCTCCAACATTATTTGACATAATCTGCTCGTACTACTCAACTAGATTTGTATGTTGTAGGTCCACTATACAATTTTTCGCAATTTGTTCCACTTCTCATTATCTCATTTACGTGACAGTAGCGGAGCCAATAATTGACACTAATGATCATGATATTGATATAATGTCTTCAAAATCTTGACTCCACCATTGCCATTAATAAGGTATATGTAAATTAATAAATGATTTTGAGTATGTGATAATAATTTTAATGCTGTCAAAGTGCCGATATTCAATCATTTGAATGGCTAAAGGTTGATTCATAGTTATATCGAGTATCTACAAGCTTTACAAGCTTAAAACTAAAAGGATATGTCTTAAGACTAAAACGTCTAAGTCGTCTATATATGTTTTGGAGCCTAGTCCCTCAAGCTTAAAACTAAAAGGATATGTCTTAAGACTAAAACGTCTATATATGTTTTGGAGCCTAGTCCCTCTTTCGCACCAAAAAAAAAAAATAAAAAAAAATAAAATAAAAAAAAAAATCTGATTGCTCCCTTCTCAATTTACAATAAATTATCATATCCTTTTCAATACTCAATCGCTAGTAGCTAATATAATAAATCGACTATAGCTAGTAAAAAATATATGAAAAACTAAATTTACTCAATCGCTAGTAGCTAATATAATAAATCGACTATAGCTAGTAAAAAATATATGAAAAACTAAATTTGTTGAACACACTCTTAATGCGAAGAGTCACTTGTAAGTTTGTAACCCTTTCATTGATCACATTTTATAAATTATTTGGTTGCGTAGGACTTAGGAGGGTTGGTACAGTTAGTTTATTGTACACTAGCCTAGTTTTGAGGTTGCTTGTTACTGTAACAAAAAATCCAAATGTATAACGACATTGCAAAGTGAATAGAAAAATAAAAGGTCTTAGAGGATTGTCATTTGTCAGTGGTTTGGTGAGGTGATTTAGCTATGAAATATGGTTTACTACTTTACTTGATATGGATGGTAGACAGATTACTTACTTCTAAAATAAAATTATAAGATAAAATGACTTCAATGATAAGCTATAATATTGGATCATGTCATTCAGTGAATACATATGGTAAATTATCCCTTCTGTGGTTTAATTCGATAATATTATGCCTATTTAAAAGTATTGTAGACATCAAACAATCTCAGATCTTGAGTATCACCCCATTGAACATTCAAGTGTTGAACTTATCTCGAGCTATTGTGAAAAATAGTTATCATTAATACGGTGTACTAACTAGAGTGGGCCGGCACGTACCACTGCTACAATTATTTTATTTTAAAATTCTAAGTACCACCTTTCATGTTGATTTAACCTGCCTATCTCATCAATTTGGCTTATAAATTATACAAGAATCAAAAGGGATTATTGAATTCATAAAATATCAGCTTGAAATGATTTAAGAAAATCTTCACTTCTGCATACTTTTATTTGTTTATGCATAAAGATAACAAAGACAAAGTGACAAAAAGATACATCATACACGTAGCAAGAACTTTCCATAATTAGAATATTGATTTGGTTTAATTGGTTCCACAATGGAGCAGTTCAGAAAGATACAACTGATATACTTGTATGTCTCTGTCTCAATGCAAAGGTCAAATAGACCCATACAGATTGGAGCACAAACATCATCAAGTCAAGCCGGGTTATGTAATCAAGAACTGTGACTGTGGGTGACACAAGAACGATGTTGATGGTATATATCATCAAATTCACCTTGGCAAACTAGCATAAAAGAATGAGGGTGAGAGGAACGTGCTAAGAAGAGCTACTTAAACATGACTTGACCCATGATTCAAGATTCTTCAACTCCTCGGTGCTAATAGAATGTCCTAAACCTGGATAAGCCTGCAATAAACCAATAGGGTATGTGGTGAGTCAAGATACTTCCATCTCAAGGATGGGAAAATCTAAGAATTTTTTTCGGCTATGTATGTGGTGAGTCAAGATACTTCCATCTCAAGGATGATAAAAAAAATGTCCCATCAGTCTAATTATTGCCCATGTCAGAGATGGATGTTTATCATTCTTGACGAGTAGTTAATACTTCATAGTAAACAGTTAAACGTCATTAAGTACCTTAAACTCGCAGGTAACACCAGCTTTTTCAAGGAAAGGAGGACCAGCTTGCCCTGCCTCGAATAAGACAGTTGGGTCAGATAATCCATGTGACCACAAAATTGGTGTCTGCACAAACACAAACTATATAAATAACAGTTTTTGCACCAAACAAGTGTTACTAAAAAGACGGCAGAAGTGGCTTGAAAAAGACTTTGACATTGTGGAAAATATACAATTTGAGAAGCCAAAAGATGGGTAGGCATGCAAGTGAGTGCTTCTAAAGTATTTTATATACTGAAGACTGAATATATGCATCCGCCTTTTATAATCAGTGTTGTGGATTTCAACTAAAAATTGACTCGTGCCGTGTACAAAGCGTCTTCAAATTCCTTAGGGGTCAGCCAGATTTCTTTTTCTTAACTTCAAAGATATTAAAGAAGGAAATAAAGCAAGGAAAAGGAGGGGAAAAAAAAAAGAAAAAAAAAGAAAAAGAAAAATAAAACAAAAGAAAAGAAAATGGAAAAAGTGTGCTCAGTCCATGGAAAATCACTGCTCAAAGTGCTTAATGATCTAATGCATGATTACTAATTGACAAGGTTGAAAGTTCAGACTTGTAGAATGTTTCCCATAATAGAAACACAAACAGATTGTATTGAACTGCAAGTACAAGAACCTTGTACCTTCTTTGCGTCTGCTGGAAATTGTTCAATAAAGGAATGATTAAAAGGAACCCAGCCACTGAAAATTGCACCACCTCCTAAAGTTTTTGGATAAAGCAATACACTAGCCAAGGTCAAAGCACCTGCAAGAATTGACCCCCACTGAATAAGCTTTCCAAGTAGTTAAAGTCAAACCTTGAGTACAAATTCCGAGTGCGCGAAGGGATTAAGAATAGGTACCTCCTTGACTAAATCCACAAACAAATATGTTATCAGGACTTATGCCTAAGTCAATCTCTTTGTCTATCATTGCGTGGACGTTTTTCACTGCTTTCAACACAGAAGCTTCATCATTTGGAGAATGCTGAAAAAGATAATAAAGGTACTGTAAGAATATTTTCATACTTCATACTCCAGTAAAGGTACTGTAAGAATAAGTATATGCAATATACTCCTTCTGTCAAATTAATGGACCCCAATCCTTTATAGGCTGTTCCAAAACAATAGGTCACATTCTGGATTCTAGAAAGTTAAACCTTGAACTTACTCAATTTAGTGAATTTACCCTTATGTTACACTAAGCTAACAATCCTAAAGAGATGTGGAGTACTAAATTAGTATGGTTAAAATGTAAAAACTATTGAATAATGAGTATACTCGTAGAATTTTTTACTATTGAAGTCATAAAAAATGGCTCCCAGTCAGAAGTTCCCAACTATTGAACTTCTCCATTATTTAAGACGGAGGGACTACTACATAAGTCGGCAGCCAGGAATGTCAATGTCTTGCTAAGGATAACAGCAAAGTTGTTATAACACAGCATTTACCCAACAAGTATGCCAAAATGAGTTAGTGACTGGTTAGCCATAGATGATAGATCAGACCACAGTCAAGAAACTTCTAGCCTCTTTTCTCCAAGAAGCTAATATCTAACAGCTAAATTTGAGTGATGATACTGATCAGAACAATAGTGAAGCTGACTTGGGGCACACAGATGAGCTACATACATTTTATCAAATCTGAAGGTTGGAATCTAGGGGGTTTAAGCTAAGTCGGAGTAAGAATGACTATTTGGTACGTCGCTTTGGTACTCAAAGGGGGGTAAGCAATGAAGTGGTGAGTTTGGATGGAAAGGATTTGACCATGAGTGAATGTTTTAAGTATCTTCGGTCGATCATCCAAAAAAATGGTGACATTGATCAAGACGTGGCCCACAGGATTAAGTCGGGGTGGCTTAAATGGAGAGCGGCAACGAGAGTGTTAAGTGACCCAAGCATCCCCCTTACAATTGAAGGTAAAATTCTACAGGACTGCAGTGTTGCTCTATGGTACAGAGTGTTGGGCTTCTAAGAAGGAGCACATTAAAAAGATGGAGGTTACAGAAATGCGCATGTTAAGGTGGATGTGCGGAAACACTCTAAGAGATAGAATAAAAAATGAGGTTATTCACAAGAAAGTAGGTGTGATAGGCATTACAGACAAACTAAGGGAAAATCGTTTGCGTTGGTTTAGGCATGTAAGACGGAGACCCGAGGGTGCACCGGTTCGAAGAGTGGGAACATGGAGGGGTTAAACGGGGGAGAGGGAGACCGAAAATGACTTGGTTGGAAAGAGTTAGGAAGGATATGAAGTATATGGATTTGCATGAGGATGAAGCATTGGATCGTAAGGGATGGAGGAGGAAGATTTATGTCGATGACTGCACGGAATAATCAAATTTGGTTCATATAGCCGACCCAGTTATGGGATTAAGGCTTTGAGTGATTGATTGAAGGGCATTGAACTAGTGTTAGTGTATGATCAAATTATTGCTAAGTGAATAGAGCATGAGAATAACACTAAGCTGAGTTGGATTCAGATTTTTGTTACATGGGAGGCAGTATTACATAAGTCTCCAAGCAAGTAGGTGAGTTTCACATTAGATGTGATCAACAAAGAGATAAATCAGTCTCATACTCTCATTTGGCTTAAAAAATTTCATTCTAAAAGCTTGGAGCCTTGGATCAATGCAGCTAACATGTACACCTTGTTTTATAAAACATAATATAGATAGAGGTAAAGCAGACAGAATATCTTCCTTCCAGTTCCATTAATTATCTTATAACACATAATATTCCTCTATATATCTCATTTACTACACACAATGAGTGCTAATTCCTTTTAAAAAGTTTCTCTTGCTTGCTTTCTTTCCTTTCTTATCATTTAAAAAAAAAAAAAAAAAATTAAACAAATAAAAAATTATGACACTATTGGCTCTGCTTTGAGCACAAAATGATTCTTGGCATATAAGAAACTTGCAAGCAATTACAAAAGGATCACTAGTCTTAGCTTTCAAGGAGTTGTTTGAAAAAAAAAAAAAAAAAAAAACAACAACAACAACAACACTCTTCGAGATCAAGGAGGCCTCTCTCTAGATTCAGCTAGATGATGCCTCTAAAACAGATTCAAGAGTGTAAATCAAAGCTGGATGATGCCACTAAAACAGATTCAAGAGTGTAAGTCAAAGCTTTAAAATTTTATAGCCTTGGGAAACTTTAAATTCAGTCTCAAATATAGATCAGTGGGCTAAGGGAGCTATGGAGTCTTCTGTCCAAGTGTTTTAGAGACTAACCATGTGTGTGATCTATAGGGCACGACTCTGACCCTTCTTCAAATAAGGATGTGCTTATTCTGGTTCTGACTGAAGATTACTCTATAGCTATTACTCAAGGTTTGTTATGAAGCCCAGAAATCGTCTTACATGCATACCGACTTCCTAAGGATTGTTATTGGATCCAGTGTCAATTATGTCCAGATGGGAGATGTGGAACCCAAGCGAGCTTGCTTTATGTTTGAGGAGCTACAGGATTTCAAAAGAAAATTATCAACTTTTGCCCTAAAGGGGTATAATAGAAATTGTCCTTTATTGGGGTCAATTAATGTTGAGTTAAGTGCCATCTATGGTTTGAGGCTTTCGAAATAGCTAAGAATAATTCATCCAGCCTTCCCATGAGGTTCTCTCCCAGATCATAAATGGATTCCTTATCCACGAGTTATAATCTAAAACTTCAAAACCTACATCCTCAACATGTATTTGTCATGGCTGGAATAAATCCACAGTAATCAAGGGAGACTACATGTTTTCCAAAATATCTCATCAATGGTTTCCTGGAAAATTAGAACTCAGAAATCTAACTTCCTTAGGTAATTGAGTTGTGCTATTTGAGCTTTTTAGCCTTGGTTGGTTACAAGCCCAGGCCAAATCAGTAGCGCAACTACCCTTGGCAATTGTAACTAGCTATGTGGCCTTGTCAAGGACCTCGGCTAATGCCTATAACATTCCCTTAGCTTAGTTCAGACAAGGCATTGGATGATATGAATGTCAGTTTTATAAAATTCTTTTAAAACAGTCACACAAAAGTGACGCAAAACTAACAAGTGCATATCAAGAATAACCAAATGGAGTAGCTTACAGCCGTCACTGGTATCTCAGGAATGTCGAACCATGAGGGCATGACAGCGCCATCTGCAAAGAAAAGCAGGCTATCCGCTTAGCAAAAAATGTTATGACCCATGATTCTAGTCTTCTAGAGCAGAAATATCAGGAAATAAGTTTAGAGTAATGAGAGGGGAAAAAAAACATAGCACTCTTCAATATTTTAGGAGAAAATCTATCAAGCTCAAAAAAAAAAGGGAGGGAGGGGGGGGGGAGAGGAAGAAGAATTGGGCAACAGAGAAGTGACATTTCAAAGTTTTTCCGGAAATTGTGTAAATGAACAATCTGGGAAAACCTAAACTCCATCTTGTTTAATTTTCAATTTGTAAATATTTGACCCCTATAAGCAACTTTCTAAATTCTTTATACTTATTTCCTAGGTTGGAGTAGAATCCTGATGGTTAAGTTCTTTAGTTGCTTTCCTAGAGAATGTCAATTAAGTAACTAAGACACTAAACAATAAACATAAATAAGGATTTGAAACAGATGAGTTGCCTACAATCTACATATATTCTCAATTCAATAGACAAACAATAATATAGGATATTGTTCAACAATTACCAGTTAATTTCTTTCCTGATGACCTTCATGGACAAGTATAAGTAAATCAGAAAACATATGGAAATGGGAAGAATTTTAAACAGAATTAAAAGGAAAAAGAAAAAAAACTACAATGGCTAATAGCAATCATGATTCAATGATTGTTTGAGTTTTATAATATCTGTTTGCTGATTAATTACCACAACAGAATGACAACTTTCTATGGTCATACCTATCTCATGACTTGGCAGTTGGCACAATACAAATAGTGCAAACTCATAGGTGCATCCTGGTAATTTATTAAACCTAGAGCTAGGTAGTGTGTACCCTATGGTGTTTTGCTCAATTAGAAGATCTTCAAATGAACATTGGATACACCTAACTCAAAGGAGGTTCTCATATATTGACCACTAAGTAGATGATAGACCCCTAACCATGACTCCATGAGATCAGCTAGAATTACTGTCCACGGACAGAATAATAATGTCAACAATGCAACATATAGCTTATCACCATGTACTGATGTACATCTTCTGAATAGATCCCAGTCAATCGTTTCCCTATCCCTTACAATGACGGCATCTAAATCTAATACTATCACCACATAACCTTGATCTTTTACCTATATTGTCTAACCCTATGCCTAAACTCTGACAAATTAAGCTGTTCCATGAGCAACAGCAAACCACATTGGCAGTTTGGCACATTGGAACTAATATTCAAAAATCATAATTAAACCATTGCACTTATTCCTTGCACAGTGATAATTTTCCTCTAACCCACACACCAAAAGTGAAATTAAAAGATGTAATCCAAATAAGAGAAACATCAATTCCTCTTTACCCTCAAGACACACTTCTTTCTACTGCACATTACACCACGATCTCAGGCTACAATCAAATCACTCAAAGTAACCATCCTACATTCATATTCTGAATTTTCAATTCCTAGTACTAGTCGAACCAGACACAAAATAAATTCAGATATGCAGCAAAGGACGAAACAAAATTTATATTCCGTACAAGATTCAACAACCATCAACATAAATTTGCTAAATTTTGCAACAAATTCAGTAACTTGATTATCGAAATAAAACCAAAAAAAAAAGAAAGTCATATTTTCACTCAAATCAAAAATAAACACATAATAGATAGAGATACACACAAAAACTAAAAATTAAACACCCATAAACAAAATTAAACAAAGAATCAACAAACAATTACCAATTTTGTTCATAACCCACAAACAAGACTGCCAAAATCAGCAAAAAATCAGATAAAAAATAAAAGTAAAAACTTACAATTGCAGGTAACTGGGTTTGCTGGGGCAGAAGGGAAAGACCATTTGGAGGAATTAAACTCAGGAGAAGTGAAGAAACCTTTGATGGGTTCGTTGGCTGGTCCAGAATCACCCAACCCATGAAGCCATAATATGAAGCTCCTGCTCCGACCCGCTGCCATTTGTTTCGGTTTCGGGTTCGGGTTCGGGTTTGGGTCTGGATTCGGGTTAGAGATGAAGATGAAAAGGAGGGTGATAAAGAGTGAGAATATAAGCACTGCAATTGGCTTTGCTAATAGTGAAATTGAGCCTGCTACTTTCATTTATCTCTCCTGATTTTCCATGGAGTTTTTCTGCATTCTTCGTTTTCTTCACTGATTCTACGATTCTCATTTTCAAATACCTAAATTGCCCTTTTCCTTTTTTTTTTTATTTTTTTTTATATGGTAAATAGGATTCTAACCGGATTTCAACCATCACAGATTTTTTTGGTCGAATGTCTACACGGTGTTGTTAAACGTTGTTCGCAATTTACTAGGTGACGTTCACATTTTATACTTGAATTTCCTAAATTGCCCTCCGTATATAAATACTCGATAAACTAAGTTAGGGTTTTACGAGACATTTCCCATCTCACAAATCACTCTTTGACACTTTCTCTCTCTAAAACCTTCCAAAAAATCTGAAATTTTGAAAAGAAAAAAAACAGAAATTCTTTTTTTTTTAAAAAAAACCAAAATCGTTGAAGGTTACTCAAAGTCAAGCAAATCTAGCAATCAAACGTTGAATCCGACAATGGCAAACCGACGAAGAATTGGGTTGATGTTTGGTGGTCGTGGTGGCGACGTTAGCGGCGGCAAACCGGTGAGTTTTTTTTTTTTTTTAAGTTTTTGAATTTAAAAAAAAATCTGGAAAGCTAACTTCCGCCCAGAAATTCCGGAAGTCCAAAGGAACTTCCGGAAATTTCAGGCGTAAGTGGTGGTTTCCACCTGAAATTTCCGGAAGTTCCTCTTGACTTCTGGAATTTCTGGGCGGAAGTTTTGGGTTTCCAGATTTTTTTTTCTTCTGTTTTTCCTCGGTTTGGTTGATTTGTTGCATGTTTTATTTTATTTTTCAAAATTTTTTAAAAATATTTCTTTCCTTGATTTGTGGCATTAAAATAATTTTTTTCTTGATTTAGTTTTGCAATAATTATTGTTATGTATTTTTTGTTGATTTAGTTTTGCAATAATTATTGTTTTGCAATATTTCTTTCCATGAGTTATAGTTTAGCAATAATTCTTGATTTACATTTTAATAAGTTTGTTGTTGTTATGTATTGTTATTGTTATGTAAATTTTATTTGGTTTGTATTGGTTTTTGTTGTTGTTGTTATGTATTATGGTTGTTGACTTAAATTGTTGTTATTGTTATTGTTATTGTAATTTTTTTTTTTGGTTGTCGTTGTTGCGTTTTAATTTTTGGCAATTTTGTGGTTAATTATAGTTTTGATTTGGCCTGTTATTGTGCTGAAATTATTTGTAGTGTGTTATTAGTGTGTTGTTATTGTTAGTAGTATACTAGTAATGTAAGAATAATATTATTGTTATTGTTAGTAATGTTGTTATTATTGTTTATTTGATTTGATTTATTATAGTTTTGATTTGATTTTTTTGAATATGAATTATTATTGAAATATGATTCTGTACTTATTTATTTAATGCAGATTAAGGGTTCTGGCCCTCGTCATGCAAGATCAAGACGTTTGAATGCGTCTGTTAGGAGGGAGTTAGGTGGTGCAGGAAATTCGCAGGCACCGTTTCACCATGAGCAGCAGTATGGGACTGTTGGTACTTGGTCGCGGGAGCATCAGTCATTGGGGAGCGCCCCCATGTATTCGTCTACTGGAGTGCCTTCATCTGACGATGAGGATGAAGAGCGAGGAAGTCAAGCTGCTGGAGATGCACAGTATGACCCTCAGGATTACCGTACTGTGTATAGGGGTGACCATAAGAGATATGTTAGTAGTAGTGAACCAGCTCAAGCTTCTAACAGCTCGTCAGAGTCATGGGTGGTGCAGGAGCCGATGCCAGGTGGGCCTGAGGATGGTACTGTTATTCCTAGTTTTGGGGGTCACGTGGCTGCCTACATATGGGGTGGGCAGGAGCAAAATGTTCTGCGGTGTTTGAGAAGGACACAGTTGTGTACTAAATTGGGTAACTGGCGCGCTCGTCTTCCGCAGGAGCACCTGGAACCGATTGATGGCAGTGGTCTATCTCACTTACCCGGGATCATGTTCCGGCGATTTGACTGGCCCCTGATTTCTGCTTTTGTTGAGAGATGGCAGCCAGACACGAACACGTTTCACATGCCATTTGGGGAGATCACGATCATGTTGCATGATGTGTATCATATTCTAGGGCTTCGTGTTGGTGGTTCCATGGTTTCCACTACTCCTAGCACGGACGTTTTACGGGACGCGTGCTCGATTACCTTGGATATGACTGCGGAAGAGCTGAATGAGAAGTGCGGTACTAAAACTGTATGGCAGGGTAGTGGGGTGCTGACTGAGAGGATAATGGAGTCGACCTTGGAGGCGCAAAGGCCCTTCAGTTTCCATTACAGGGCGTACCTGTGGTTAGTACTTGGCGGATGTTTGTTTCTGGACAAGTGATAGGCGTGTCGCGTACCTAACAAAATATAACCTAACTGACCACTACTACGTAGCAGGGCAAGCAAGGGTCGAATCCCAAGAGACTAAGGTTCAAAAATAATTAAATAGACTCAAATTCCTACTAAGCAAGAATCAATAATGATCAATTAACTAAGGAACTAATGTAAGGAAAATTCGAAAATAAACTAAAGAATATGAAGAAATCAAGTAATTAAAACATCCAAGATCAAATATCACCACAATTATGAATGATGCAATTATATTTCTACCCCTAACATACAATTCCAATTGAACCGTGAAAAGTAAACCCTAATAAATACCAAAGACCTCTCTCGAGTATCAATGGCTTCCCTAACATACAATCAAGCCTATTCTCATGGTATCATGCATATTAGAGACATTGAACACATTACTCTAACTTCCCAATTATCAAACCCAACTACTCTCGTGTTGAGAATCAAACCCTAAATTGATTTACTCAAATCCGTTTAAACCCAACTCTCGTTGTGATAGAAACAATGGAATAATCGCAATACTAAAATTACGTCTAATCTAGCATTGGCATAATCACAATCAATTTAGCATAAGCAATTGCAATAATTATTAGAGAATTTAAAGATTTAATTCATGCATCAACTATAATTGGGCTACCCTAGATCTCGAAATAGGAAATCTACTCACTCATAATGAAATAAACAATAACAAAAATAATTAAAGAAAACATAATTAAGAAACAAGAGATTAAAAGAAAACCGAATCTTGAATTAAATTGAAGGTGGAAAGTATAAATCTTGAATTACAAAAGTAAAGAAAATAAAATAGAGAGAACTAGTTCTTAATAATGTGAATTAGAGAATAAAATAAAACTTAATTCATAAAAAAACACTACTTAATGTATATATAGGCCTAGGAAGATAAAAAGATAAACATCTTTTCTTGGCGCACAAGGAATCCAGGAGGCACGGACGTGCCTCTCCATAGGCACGGATGTGCCTCTATGGGTGCATAAACTGATGTGGCTACTGACTTCCAGGCACGGACGTGCCTGGTGCTGGGCACGGACGTACCTGCTCTGCTGCGCGTATTACTCATCTTAAATAGTCATAACTTCATATTCAGAGCTCCGTTTGAGGCGTGTAATATATCGTTGGAAAGGTCTTCAAGTCTACTTTCCAATTCAATTTGAATCACTCCATTATAATTTTTATATCAAAAGTTATGAGCATAATAGTGAACAGGTGTCATATTTGTCAAGTATTTCATCAACGTTTTGCTTCATTTTCACTCAAGTTCGTTTCGAACACATGATTTGATATTCTTAAGAAATATGTTTTCATACTCCATGATTATTATACTCAAGATTAGCCAACCATACTCCATTTGCATATAAATCACCTGAAATTCATCAAAACACACAAACGAAGAGTAGTAGAGCACAACTTAAGCAAATAATGCAAATATGCACCAAAGATCTCTAATTTTGTAATCAAATGAGCTTAGATACCCACCTAAAACATGTGCAAAATAAGACCTATCAACAAGAGTGGAAACCGTACTCATCCTTCCTTCCTCAACGAGCTTTTTGTTGAGGATGTTCAGATTAGTGACTACTCTTGGGGTTCTGCTGTGCTTGCATACATGTACCGGCAATTGGGTACAGCATCACGAAAAGATGCTGATTCTATCGCCGACTGTCTTACGCTTCTGCAGGCGTGGATCTACGAGTACTTTCCGTGTTTTCGTCCTCAGCAGGGGACCTTAACCAGAGAGCTTACTGTTCCTCGTGCGTCCGCCTGGGATGTAAGGTCGAGGTGCCCCAACAAGAGCATGGAGCGCCTCCTCGCTTTTCGTACTAGGTTGGATCATCTGACTGACAATGAAGTTAATTGGCTACCGTACGGAGTTGATCCAGCACGACGCGTGTTTGCTACTCTTTTCATTGGCTGCATCCAGTATCATAGCATCATTGAGCCATATATGCCTGATCGAGTGGTTCGACAACTTGGATACGTCCAGGGCATTCCACAAGCCATCATCAGGCTTGAGAAGGCAAAGAGACCGGCGAACTTGAAGATGTATCGAGTTAACTTTCCGCTAGAGATGACATATGTGATGTGGACTCGGTTTGTCCCTGGTCTGTCTTTCAGTGTCATGGTAGGTGCCCTAAGCAGACTTGGTGGTGGTGCTCCTACGGTCGGTCCTGGTTACATGTAGTGGTTGTACCGATTTTCTCATCCTCGTGTTTCTCCAGTTGCGTCATCAAATGAGAGTCGCGCACTGCCAGAGAGAACTAAAACGGATTACGTAAGTACTTGTGTTTTTTGGTACGGTAATTATGATTAAAAAAACTTCTTATTTTTAATTGCAGTGGATGGGTCGGTCCATGGAGGTCATCAACAGGACACTGGAGGAGTATCCGAGCGTGTCGCGTGATACAATAGCAATGGCTGAGGCGCTGCGAGCTGATTGGAGGGCGATGATGGGGTTGTGAACTTGCTTTTTTTTTTTGACTTGTACGCATTTCGTTGACATACTATTTATTCGGCATGTACTTTCAGGATTGAACAATTGTTTTTGTGGTTATGTTGTTCGCCGGCTGTTTAATTGAGTTAATTTCGTTACAAATTACATAACTACAACTGTTTAACATAAATGAAGGTACAAAAATATGTTCATTATCTAATTAAGGCATCCCACATGTTTCTTCTAGCTGCGTAACGCTAATCCCAACCGTCAACACTTGGGTCGTGGTTCTCGGTCCACC